TGAAAATTTCCTTGAATGAAAAGCTTTTGGGTGAAGTTTGTCATCTATTTCCATTTGTAACAATACAACACCTATAGAAAAATTTGACGCATCTATTTCCATAAAAAAATGCCTTAGAAAAGTCAATGTAATATTAAATTGGTACAAAAACAAATTCTTTCTTTAAAACATCAAATCATGCTTTTGTTTCTTTATTCCACTCAAGTTTGTCTTTACAAGTCAAATGTGTAAGTGGAGCTGCAACTTGAGAAAAATTCTTGATGAAGATTTGATAGTAATTAGCAAAGCTCAAAAAGCACTACACATCTCGAACTGTTCTTGGAATCTTCCAATCTATGATAGTTTGAACCTTCTTGGGATCCATCATAAGGCTTTCGTTGGAAATGATGTATCCTAAAAAGTCAACTTGAGTAGTGTGGAATACACACTTTTCAAACTTGGCATATAATCCTACATCTCTAAGTTTTTGTAACATACGACGAACATGAAGCTAATATTCTTTTGTGTTCTTAAAGTAGATTAGAATGTCGTCTAAATAGAAAACAATGAAATCATCTAAAAATTCACAAAAAAACATCATTCATAAGCTATTGAAAAGCGATTGATGCATTTGTGAGTCCAAAAGGCATGACATTATATTCAAAATGTCCATACCTAGTTCGAAAAGCAATCTTCTATTCATCTCCTTCTTTGATATGAACTAAGTTGTATGCTCTTTATAGATCTATTTTGGTATAGATCTTTGCTAGATTGAGTTGGTTAAGAAGTTTTGAAATCAAAGGCAAAGGATATCTATTTTTGATGGTGATCTTATTGAGTCCTCAATAATCCATACACATTCATAGAGATCCATCTTTCTTCTTCACAAATAAGATAGGAGCCCTAGCTAGAGATTTAGAATGGCGTATGAAGTTATTTGCCAAATTCTCATCAATGTATTCCTTTAATACACCCAACTCATTCTCTGATAAGCTATAGATTGGTCCGAATGATAATTGAGTTCCTTCTTATAGATCAATTGAACAATCATAAGGTCAATGCTCAAGGAGAATATCTGCATTCTTCTTTTCAAAAACGTCTTGGAATTCTTGATATTACTTAGGAATACTACTCGACATTGTTTCACCATTAGAAATGGATGTAGCATATATAGCAAAAGATGATCCTACTTTTGCAACATGCATGAAAGCTTTTGCACCTACTAGTAAAGGTTTGGACAAAGTGGACTTACATACTTCTACTTTGTTAATGGGACCTTGGATTATACTATCATGAAAGTTAAGGTTACGAGAAATCCAATCTATTTGAGGGTTATATTATTCTAGCCATGATAATCCTAAAATAATCAGATTAGAGGGAGATTTTATTACATTAAATACTACTATGATGTTATGATCTTTAATTGCTATATCTAAAAGAATAGTTTCATGGATGACATTTCCAAAAGACAACAAACGACCATCTATGATTTCTACATGTACGGATTTAACTTTCTTCACTAAAGGTATTTTTTGATTTTTGACAAAATCTTCGTCTATAAAACATGCTGAGGCTCTTAAATCTAACAAGGCAAAGACTTTGTAATTATTAGGTCGTAAATATACTTCTATTATAAAAGAAGGTGAGGGATCTGAGGAGAGGATAGAACCTTTACTAAGTATTGTAGCTGGAGACACTCGTTTTCCAACACATTATCTTCTTTGGTAATTATGCTCCTTATTTTGTAATTGTGTTGCTTCTTTGGACAATATTGAGCAGTGTGTTTAGCTTCTCCACAATATAAACACAACCCTTCTTGGCGATGTCGAGTCTTTTCCTGCTTTGTGAGAGGTTTAAAACGTATCATATCAATTTATATTGGTTCTAGCTTTGACGAATACGTTTCAAAAAACTTGAGAGCTGCCACCATTACTTGATTTGTTCCTCTCCAACCAAATCTTTATTCTTAATGTCTTTCAAATAAAATTTTTTTGTATGCAATGGCTTGAATAATAAATTGTTTCAAAGATTCTACTTTCGGTATTATTAATAACAAATCTTTGAGGCTATCCTTCAATCCATATCGAAATTGGTTGATAAGTGCTTTGTCGTTCCAATCCACATTGCAAGCAAGGTTTTGGAATTTGGCAGCATATATAGTAGTTGATTGTAATCCTTGTCGTAATAATAAAAGCTTGGTCTCTGCTATTCGTTCTCAATCACTTTCTCCGAATGTGGCCATAAACACTTCTAAGAATGAATTCAAATCATAAAGGAGTCGTGAATCTTTTTCCATTAAAGGTGCAAACCAAGAGAAAGGACTTCGTGATAGTAGTGCGCCTATGAATCTAGCTTGGATAAATCCATCAAGATATTGGAAAGGGTGCAATCTTAGATAGAGCTTGACTTGTTGTAAAAATCCTCAAAATTTTGATCTTGTTCCATTAAACTTCTTAAGCATACTAATCCTTGTCCCTATCATACTTATAGAAGCAAAATTCCCTAGATTTGGTTGTGAGGTTGATCTACTTACTTCTTTCAACTGCACAACTTCTTGCCGTAGACTCTGAACTTCTTCCATAGGCATAGGAATAGTACTTCCATGATTCACATTATAAATATGTGAGATTTTCACTCTGAGAGTATTGACAAGCTCATGAAGATCTGCTATAGTTTCAAATCTATTCTCACTTTCGTTGAGAGAAGCATCCATAATTTTTCCTTCTATAGACAACTCAAACAAATTCAAAAGTCAAATTAGAGGAGGGTTATCCGCAACCTCTAAAAACAAATCCTACAAAGAGGGATAATCCACTCTCTCCAAGAAAAAGATCAGTGTTAGAAAACAAGACTTTTTGTTTAAAGGTGGGTAGTCTGCAATCTTCAAAACACAACAATAGAAGTGGGATAATCCACTCACTTCTAAAACAAGACAAAAACAATATGTTAACACTCTTGTCAAACTGTCAAAGAGATGAATCTCGAAGAAAGAGAATCGTCAATACACTCTTCTATCACTGAAGAGAACTAAAAAGTCACTCAAAAGGTGATGTAATATTAACTAAAATGGCTATTGCCAAAAAAGAAGAAAGACTAGAAAGTCTTGAAACAAGACTAAGACTAGAAAGGCGTTGACAAGAGTGAAGAAGGCTTCACTCTTGCCTCCATATATACTATCTAACTAAGAGCTACGTGGCGATGTCCTATAGGATCTCCAACATGTGTTGACTTTGCTAGCCAAATGTCTTATCTTGCAAGGCAAGTTATCTATGTATGCGCCACGTAATTGGCTTGTTCCACAATCTACAACACTAAGATAACTTGTTCTACAAACTACCAATACATAGTTAGCTTTTTGGCAAAGTTTCTAACCTACAAAGAAATCTAAAGTCAAAATTGCATCTGTAAAGCTTCTACGAAGCTTTTCTAGAAGACTTTATGAAATTATTCTATATTTACCTACTTCTACTTAATCATATAAGTAACTATTGAGATAAATATATATGTCCGTGATAGTATAAATTAGTTTAACTTGTTTGTTGGTATGACATGTTAACAAATAAGCTAAATTTATTTTTACAAGTATATTATTAAATAGACAAATAAATTACACACATAAAGACAAATATATAAACTAATCATGGAAAATATAATCATATAATTATAATTATATAATTATAATTATATAATAATGAAATTATAAAAAATAGAATCTAAATAATGATAAATAAATAATATAAAAAACTAATTTAAAAAAATTATAAAAAATGACTATATAAGCTAAAGTCAAGATTAAAAGAAAAACCTAAGAAATTATTTCTAAAAGTCAAATTTTAAGATAAGAATTGTTGCAATAGTTAAATAAAAAACTAAAAATACACCAATATTTCTAATTAGTATATAAATTTAAATAGTATGTATTTATAATTAATATGATACACACTATTCATTGGATGGTGTTCTTTTGTTACTTTGTTGGTTGCAAAGCAAATAAGTGTGTGTCATTGTGTGTGCCATAGTTGTTAGTAGACCTAACTATAAGTTGTATATATTATATAATATAGTCTACACATTATTTAAGTATAAATATAAATAGCGTGATATAGACTATTTGAATTATCCTATTACTTATATATATTTCTAATTAGTATATACTATAAATTGTACATTTATGTCCCAAAGGCACTTTGCAAATAGTATGATATATATTAATTATGGATACTAGTATAGTTCTAACAATTAATGCAAGACCAAATGTTTTAGTAAAAGTGAAGCAAAAATTATAAATTAAATTTGAGACCTAGATCATATTTATAATTTATTGATTTTATTAATAAAATTTACATGTTATTTATTTTAAACAATAAATGAATAGAATATTAATTTTTAATTTTTAAAAGTTATTCATATTAAGATGTTTTTATTTTATCTTTTAAAAAATTAATAATATATAATTTATGTTTTCTTAAAATTTAATTAAATAATTTTTTTTTACAAATTTATTCAAAATTGGTTTTTAGATTATATATATATATATATATATATATTTATTTATTTATTTATTTAAATAATTAATGAATCACCTTCCAATAAATGATTGCATAATGGTTCAAGATTTAAAATTTTATAATAATCAAATAGTCAAAGAAATATATATATATATGACTTTAAAGAAACCAAAATGAAATACTTAAGATATGAAGTAAATAGTAAAAAATGCATCCATTTGCCAATTCCATGCTTGAACACAAGGAAGTATCAATAAGTTGGATAGAATTTTTATTAAAAATTTCATTTATGTTGTCTAAAGAACCTTAACTTTACCTATGATGTGCATGAAATTATTCTTGGTAAATCATTCCCTTTCCATTGACTGTTATTGTTTCGAAGGCACATCTATCTAGAGAAGACTCGACTGTGTATGAAGCTCATGCATTTGTTCTACGCACGTCATCTTTTGTATAAACAAGTAATGTTATTTAGGTACACGGAATATATACAAGGAGTCGTTCACAGCACAATTCTCAAGATTTCAAAAGTAATGCTTGTAATTCTGATTTGATGGTTTACAAAAGAAAAATGATGCATGTATGTAGCTTAATAATCCATTACCCTCCAAAGTATCATACAACTAAGATCAATCTCCCTGATTAAAAAAGGAAATTTACTTCCTCCTAAATTTTTCAGCAGCAGAAGACTATGGGTACTTGTGCTTGTGAAGTCTCTGCAATATGATCCATTTTAAACAGTTCCCCTCCTCGGATAAGCGTTGTTGAATGACTCTCATTCATATGTCACAAGTAGAAGAATCCACTTTAGAAGTCCGCACCAAACTCGTTTACAAACCTTGGATATTATGCAGTGCGACCCTGAAACTCAACAACCTCGCATTACGACTTAGTGCAAGTGATTCAGCGTTCTGCAGAGATAAAGCACCGATGGCAATTGAATGCTATTCCTTGAATTTGTAATGAAAAACTAAATAATGAGACTGCACACCTGATTGTCGAGGATTCTACAGGCCCTTGGACACGATTCTGTAAGCAGCTTCATCACCGACGGATGGCGCTGCATGGCTGTCTCATAAAACTCTAAATCACCATAGTTGTTGGTAGAAAGTGATACCAAGCAAACACAGAAGAGGCGTACATGTGTGCTTTAACGCTTTCAGCGTTGCAAGAGAACATATTCAACTTGGAGAATAGAGCAATTAGCACATGTATTCAATGAAAGAATGCCACCACAATATGTGTTTGAGTTGATCATGCATGATGAAAGACTCACATGCTTTATGAATGGGAGTCTGACCATCACTATCTTGCGCCTCCACACTTGCGCCATGTTGCAACAGAACCTTCACTACCTCGATGTGTCCAGCAAATGCTGCCCGGTGCAGGCTTGTAGCTTTCCCTGATCGAGTTCTCCTGTCCACTTGAGCGCCGTTCTACAACCACAGATATGCATAGTCAGCTTTTAAATCCCTGTAGCATTCAGGAACTAGGGATGTTTGTCATACATAGCGAATCAAGCTGATGATCCAGAACGTTCGGTCCTATGACCAAACCACATTCAAAATTAAGGTTCATTCTGTTGACGTTGTGTTGTGTTTGGAATCATGGTTTGGACGCGCACATTGCAGCCCTGAGACACGATAGAGCTAAACAAACGAGATGCGACAACCTAAAGACCGGCAGACATAGAAAAAGGCACAAGCGGATTGCACACCTGAAGGAGGAGAAGGCAAGCTTGGACGTGGCCATTGCGCGCGGCGTAATGCAAAGGTGCGTAACCCGATTCTCCACCTCCATCCACTTCAGCACCCCGCGCTAACAACTCCCGCATCCTCCTTACATCCCCGACTTGCGCCGCTCCTGCCAAACTCCTCTGAAAGTCCATCTCTTCTAATGATTCTGCCACGCCCTTGTGAGCACCTCCCACGCAACATTTGCAAACTCCAGTACCGGCCTCCCCTATGATGCTCATCTTCACACAAAACTCCTTATCTATACTAGCCTAGCTGCTGCATGCGTTGATACGTATTCCCTCACACCCAAACAAACGCCTAAATTCGACACAGAGCATCCTCTACTAACGATCATTAGCGGATTCCTCCTCGCATGCTTCCAATATTGAGCGAACCATCACTCTTACGAATGAAAGAGAGAAATAGCAAATAAACCGATGAGTCCTGCTTGCGTCATTCACAACACCGCGTTAGCTCCAAAACCAGTTGAAAACAGAATTGCCTAGTCAATTTCAATTTCAAGTCTTGTATGAGGTGCCGCCATCCCGAATTTGGCGATAGTCATCAGCATCGAAGAAGATCATGTGCCAGATTCGGGCTTGCTCCGTGGCCCCTAAACCTTCCGACATTCTCATCGGCGGGATTTGGATCCCAATCAGTTGAACCCTAAACACAGTTTCTCCAAAAATCCCGCCCCCCACCTTATACTTTGCCACAATTCTCACAGTGGAACACCTAAATTTTTGTCTGATATGGAACAAGCATGGGAAAGTAGAAAATCATGGATCTGGCAAGAAGGGTGCAATTTTTGCGGTCATGCAGAGCTTCGTAAACCTTTGTGCTGCGAGCGCGGCAGCGCTGCGAGAAGGATGTGTAGTATTCGCTTTGCAGTGAAGTATAGTTGGGTAGGGGGTAGATTGATTTAGTTAAGCGTAGTTCGTGAAAAATACAAAAAATAATAAAAACATTAACAATAATTCAGCGAGAAACAGTAGCGATAGGCTAGGGTTTGAATGGCGACGTATGCTACGAAGGTTAGAGGAGACACAACCGAATCAGATGGTTAGCCCCAAGCACCACCTCGAAGGAATCTGCTTGGGACACAGACGCACAAATTTATATGCAAGTAACAAAAAATATTTTTGGATGCAATAGGAGTCCACCAGCAAGTGGGTCACTTGCACACAACAAGATGCATTATGGATGAGAACCTTTCCTCCCAATTATTTTAGATGTTGTTTGGGAGTTTTAATGTGCTCAAACTAGTTGTTAATAGTATAGTATAGTAAAATTTTAATTTTTGGTGAATTATGTTGTCATAACTTTGTGGAAGAAAAACATTGTATTTGGTAGGTTGATTAAAACTATCAAAATTCTTAGCTAAATTTACTTTTATTTTAAAGAAAAATTTAATAGACACAATTTGAAAGATGTTGATATAGTCCATGTATAGAATTTTGGAAGAATTGTGTGTCTTTTAGAGACAAGATTCACAATTTAATTATAAAGTATTTTGAGTTCTAAACAATCCAAAAGTTCTATGATCTAAGTAATTAAGGTTCTAGCTTAGTTAATATTGAAGGGATTTCTAAAAGAATTCTAAAAGATGGTCAATAAGTAATAGCTCTAATTGAAGAACTTATAGGTTGGATTTTAAAGTTGGATGAGACTTAGAAATATTAGTTAAAAATTCAATAATTTTATACAAAAAATCTATTAAAATATGTTTATTTAAAACATTTATGAAAGTTTCTTAGACACAAATCATATCTTCAAAGTCTTCTAGATATATTATATAATTATAGAAATATCTCCTATAATTTTTTTTAGTTTTAAGAAGTTGCATTAGAAGCAATTTAAAATTTATTACTTGGGCAACAAACCTTTTGGTCTTACAAAACTTCTACAATACTTTCTTAATAGTTTGTATATATAAAGGTAAGATTGAGGCTATTCTTAATTTTGTTAATACCTTTCTTGTATTTTAATCTTAGTTTAAGACTATCTAATTTCTTTGTATTTGGTAATAAATATTTTAGATCTTTTATGTCTTTAAATTATTCATTTTTTGTTTTTTTATTTTTTATTTATTTATTTTAGTGACAAAAAAGTTGTTTCTTCAAAAGAATTATTTATATTTATATCCTTAAAAACTATAATAATAGACTATATGAATCTTTCTACAAAGAATTCTTTGTATCTAAATAGAATCTATTATATTTGTAATTGAAATGCTCTAAGTTTAGTAGAATATAAATAGGCTCAAACAACAAGCTTATTCAATATTGCTATACATACACCTATTATGTCTATATACATACAAGACTTGTAATTGAATGTATTGGATCCCCTCTTCCTTATCTTGGTATGAGTCTTAGTCCTCTCTTCTCCTTCTTCTTTATCTTGGTATAGATCTCGTACCTCATCTCTCTTTTATCTCAACACAAGTTCCAATCTCTTCTCCCACTTATCAAATTTGCCTCTAAATTCCACCATCAAAACTTTTGCATCTAATGTGGTGATTTTTTTCACTAATACAAGCATTGATGGATTGATATTAGACATTGTTGCTATTTTAGATCCATATATCTACATTGATGGCCAAATAACTATTGAAAGATAACTTTATAATGGATACAACAAAATACAATAAGGATGTAGTGCTACCTAAAGCAATACCTATTTATTTAGTGGGAGATCTTGCACTAGCCCCTCAACTCATTACAACACCAATAACACTTTCAAAAATCACTATTGTTGATATATGAAATAATGGTGCACAAGCTATAACTTGCATTGTGGCATCAATATTGCTTCCTTCCCTAGTCTTGCTTCTAATAGATCCCTTGTAAATGTAAGGATACTATTATAATTATTTGTTGTATATAGTATGTAGCAATATCTCCATTTTTCAAGATGCAAAATTTTCATCTCTCAATGGTTGTACTTATCAATCATCAGCATTATAAGCAACAAGTGTTAGGTGTCTCATTTAATGAGCATTGAAGTTTATGACATTAAACAAGATGATACATTAAAATTTTAAATGCATGTTTACTTACAAAAAAATGAGATAAAAATTACAATATGATGAAATCTAGTAAAACAAATCTAAGGCCTTTTAATAATATGTTAATTAATAATTGAATACTACTCACATAAAATAAATAACTTTATTTAATCAATAGCTTCATATAAAGTTAATTAATAAATTATCAGCTTATTCTAAAATATTTATAATAAATAACAATTCATAAGAGAGAAGAAAAAAAAAAAAAAAAAAAAAAAAAAAAAAAAACATCTAAAATGTCAAAAAGACAATGTACACTACCAATGCAAAAGACCATATAAACTACAAAATTATATTTATACAACATACACATATATTTACATATAAATGAGAATAAAGTGACCATAATGGCTTAAACTACTACTCAATTAATTTGTAATAGGAAAGACCATATCTTTTCTATTCTAAATTTGATCTATTCTCTTCCTCCATGTGTATCCTACCATAGACAAATTTTTAAAAAATATAATATTTCATTAGACATCAATATATAAGCCACATGACAATTGATATTTATCCTATAAATTTTCTACTTTAAAACAGTTGCATCAAAAGCAATCTACAACTTGATACTTGGGCTACAAGCCTTGTGGTCCTTATAAAGCTTTTATAAAGCCTACTTAGGAGATAGTATATATGAAGATAAATTGTGAAGCCATCCTCAATCTTTTTAATACCTTTTTTGTGTTTTAATCTTTATTTAATATTTTTTTAGTCTCTTTGTATTTGAAAATAGCCATTCTATTTTATTTTATTTATCTCATAACTATCTCTCATCATTTTTACTTTCTCTCTTCTTCAATAATACATAAGTGTATTGATTTCAAAGTTTTTTTTAGATTCATGTCCTTGAAAGCACATCTTGATATAATCCATGCTTCTTGGCTTAATCTCATTCAAAATAATGTATACTAATTATTGAATATTATTTGGTGTACTAGTCTATTTAAGCTTCTACAATCTAATTTTGTCAATATTAAAATTCTTGATTAATTTTTTATTTCTCATTTTTTACAGATTCTTGCATGAAACCAATCAAAGCATTGATAATTGTTCTTCTAAAGTTAGATGAACCATAGTGCAAAGATAGTAAACTATTCTTACTTAAAGATTTGCCAAAGACTTCTTTTAATAGCTAATATAATAATTTTTGGTTTATCAAAAAGCTAATTCTAAAAGTTAATTTTTTTAAAATTTTTTTTCTTTATTTTATTTTATTTATAAACTTTATCCAAATATCTCAAAATATTGAGAGGCCAATTGAGAGGAATCTAAGCGCTTTATAAATGAATTTTGGCTCATCCTTTTATTAAATTTAGTGTTGACTTTGGACCCATAGCATGACCATTGACATCAATATTTTCTATCTCATAAAGTCTTATGAAATGAAATCCTTCGAGTAGGTCAGCTAAAATATCATCACAAATTTATTGTAATAATGTTATCTATTTCTGATGAAGCATCAAAACAATCAATTATCCAGTCATTAAACTGCCCTGAATGCTCTCAACATCGTAACTTGCCATTGCATCAATATTTTGACTATTGCAACTAAAATTGTGATTATAAAGCCTTCTAATTACTACTAATGGCCTCAATTTCTTGCAAGGTTTTAATTATTACGACATTTCTAAATAATATTAAATTTTGTGGTCATTACCAATATGTGTAATGCTTTTAATAAATTAATTAGTTGAATGCTTCACTATTAATGCTACTTGCTATTGAATTATTGAGACACTCTACTCCTAGTAAATAGAAGGGTTTAATAGTGTCCAAAGCTAACAAAAACTCCTTGTTAATATTATTAAATACTTCAAATTTTTGCACAGAGTTACTTTTCTATTTATAAGGATTATCTTCTTATCCTGAATCTTGAAACTCAAAACCTAGAAGTGTTATATTGGTCAAACCTATGTAGGCATCTATATTCAACATAAGTGGGTTTATAAAGGCAATTTCAAGTCAAGCTTGTTCATGATATACCATGGTATTAAAAAATGGAGACAATATCCCACAAGACATTTACAATGTGATTGCTTTCAATATATCATCCTTCTCATCATATGCCTATATTTCAAAGTTTAAAGTTGATATATTATAAAAAAAAAACATATATATATATATATATATATATATATAGGAATGAATGAATGAAAGACAGAGAACAAGAAAAGAAGCATGTTGCATCAAATAGGTTGAGCTGATTTTGGGCACATAAAACAAAAGCACAATTGATTCTAATGACAAGGCCCCATGACCCATGCTCCAACATTCCTTCAACTCACCTCAACCAGAGAAGATCCCAAACAACAACTTCATCACCCTTTGTCCCCATGTGCATTGTTACCACAATTAGCATTGATACCAATGTAAGGAAATAAAACATGTTGCAAAACAAATAATACCTCAAATCAAAATTAAGGCTCGCAAATCCAATCAAAAAATGAATCTCAAAACAGGGCTCTGTGACTCCTGCTCCCACAATTCCTCGTCTTTTCCCCCCTCACTTGGTGATCCCAAAGGGCTTTGTAATCCCAATCTGTTTCCAGGTGCATGGTTCTCAGGGTTCCCATCGTTCACAAAGCCTAACATCAAACCATGTGGCAAATTTCACTGTGCATCAGTCCAAGGTCTGCATTCATCCCAAAATTCCAATGCAGGTTGAAATTCTGAAACAGAAAGAGCAATGTAAGAAAATCTAAAGCATTCATATATAAGTATTGCACAAACCATAAGCAGTTATTATTCAAGCCAAAATAAATCAGAAATAAAAAGCTTCATATATACATCTAAATATGTATATATATATATATATATATATAAACACATGCATGCACACACACACACACACACACAAATGCAGGCCTTGCAATTTCAGCAAGTATGTATTTTGAAAATCCCTACCTTTTCAAATACATAAACAAACAAACAAATATTTATTGAAGCACACAAAAAAAAGAAAGTGTAAACTTGGAAGGCTTTGAA